AAATTTGATGCCCGACTATTTCATTGTCTTGTGAGCCACATTTATTCTTAACGGTGTTTCCAGTAGCTGCTTATCGATGTAGTTACATTTGATATTTTTTCAATATTCATTCTTCACGTACTATTTTATAAGAATCATGGTTACGTGTAACTTTTTGAATACAATTTCAAAATTTTATTACTTTTTGAATCGGTTCAATGAAATATATCTTGTAAATAAACAACAAATAAGGTGTCCCATTCGAAAACACCGGTGTTGACATCATTTTCAATTTGAGTAGTTATTATTTTCAAAAATAGTGAGTGAAATCAAAAATAGACCTAAAAATCAGTAATTTTCAATATTATTTATTCAGCTAATAATTAGTTAACATGCCCTACTTCATGAACACTCCGTCAATAGATTATTTTTATATTATATTTCATTTCCTATATTTCAGTTTCAAATATCTAATTTCTAGTGAGTTTCCCCAGATGTATGGCATGCGATACCCTCAGCAAACAGCTCTCAGCCTAATTCTGTACCTGCATTGATTCAAAGATTTTCGTGTACAAATAAGGCGTCTGATTCCAAAACTAGATAAGTCACAAAATTATCGTTCCTGATACTGATATAAAAAATATGTTTGCACAATAAATATTCCTTTATGGGAACTATGAATTTTATACCATATATCTGTACTTATACAAATTGTTTTTGTTAAAATCTAATACGGCACTGATAGACCAAAGAGTTTTTTTGTGAAGTTTTGACCATTTGAACGGTGGATTTTGGCTTATGACCAAAACAACTAGAAAACAATATATTTTATTAGTTTATTTGTTTCCTGAATAATATGTTGAAAGTGACTCATAGGTTTATAAATCGAGACGCCTCAACAATTTTTTCATTACGGTAGGAACCAATCAAAGTATTTAATTAGTAAAACTTGAAAAAGTTTTTTCATAACAATCAACAGTTCAAATTGCCTCTGGCAATTTATTATCTGCAATATTGAAGTTTTGTTACTCAAGAAAATTCATATTCTTCTCTTCTTTTTATCGAAAATAACTATATGTACATTCATTGAAAAAACACTTCTGACTATTGACAAACTGAATCCAACATAAAAGAGTTCTGAATAACTTTTCTCGGTGTGCATATCGGGAGAACTTCCCAACATCGCATAACGTAACCTGGTGAAAAACTTCGAATTTTGCAACAAAAAGATTTAATCAAAATCAATGGGTTAATACAATTTCCATTTTGTGTTGATGTGATGTACCTAGGTATGTAGGTATATGAGAATGAATGTATGTACGTATGTATTTGTGGCTCTTTCACGCCTAAACGACTTAACGGATTTAGATGAAACCTTACATAAATACACCTTATACATCAGAATAACATTAAGGCTACAATTCACAAATGATTTGTGTAATTAATACGATAAGTATTGAGTAAGGAAAAATTCTTGCTCCCTAAGAGCTATCTTGGCGTGCGCTGCCTATTATACCGTTGGAGTAGCATGTGGATAATGTACCGTAAATTGTTTATCTTAAATAGTTTTAAATAAAAGTCCGCGATTTACCTCTTATGTGATAGTCACAATATGCAAAATACTGAGTCATAAATACGATAAAATCGGACACTTTTTTACTATGCACATTTTAGAATATCTGTCAAATTCGTATAAATATTGATACAATTGTCGTTTCGAATATTTAATATAGATGAACTTTGTCTTTTACAGCAAGTAATTTGGACGAATCGTTTGAAATTTTTCACAATAAGATTAACTTTACGCGACGCATTAAGCCATTACGCGTAGCGTCTACTGTAAGAAGGTGGAGAACGATACGTGGGGATTGAGCAATGAATTGTCATCGCCGAGAACGGGACCCGAACGCGGGCAGGCGCGTGAGGGCATACGTCGTTGACGGTGGCAATAGTTTTCCGATTTTCTTTATAGATAACATAATTCGAGTCTCGAAGCTATTCATTACTTAGTGCATTTGGCACATTTTTTTGATTACCGTATTTTTGAAGTAAAAATATAAATTACTAGCTGTTGCCCGTTCTCATATTAACATACAACCGAAGCTACTAAACCTAGGATCTTGAAATATGCAGGTAGGTTCTTTGAGTCGCGTAAATAAGCACCAAGAAAGGAAATCAGGAATTTCTACCCCCAAGGGGGAAAATAGGGGTTCAAGATTGCATTGAATTTCGTCAATTTTGCAGTTGGAAACATGAAGTTTCAGCTTAATAAAAAAAGAATATTGAAACCATTTGTTTAAAATGGTGTGTCACGAAACTTAATGCGACAACAACTAGTATCATCTAAACTATTTATTTTTCACTGAATAAAAGTGAAATTTCAGACATTTTTCTATAACCTCATAAGATATCGATCTTCAATCTCGATATATTTATTAGTCTGGATATAATCAACAATAAATTCATAAACATTTTATTTTTCAACACTGATTTTTTTCTTTATCCTATTTGTCTACCGAAGAAATGAATACATAAATGAATTACATGTCTAAATAAAAGGATAATCAAATTACATAAGTAAACTTACCTTCAACTTGGAAAAGTAATTTCATTATTATAGTTCTATTACCTTTACCACGATATAGGATTGTTTATGTAAATAAACTTCTCATAAAACTTTATCACTGAGTTATCTTCCATTGCGTACACTAAATGGTAGGTAAACAAAATCGGTAAGTAACAAAGTAATTTTATTACATTATACAACTTCGTCTTATCCTTCCAGGATTAGAGGCGCACAAGAGTACATTGTTTACGAAATTGTAGGCCATGTGCAATGCTGTAATTTGATCTAGTTAAAGTTAACAACGTCCTACACGCAAGGAAATTTATTTGCAAATAGAAATACCGAAATACGGAATTTGTTTGCTGTCTATACAAGACAGTCGATAAATTGCGTTCGAATTTGGTTTCTAAAAATCATTTGTTGAAGGTACATTTTCTTTTCACCAACCTAAAACGTTCGTCTAATCCGTCTAGTCCATAAGTTGAAATTCGTGTGCAACAGACATAAAGCTCCTCATATTATGTGCGAATACTCTGCATTCGAAGCAACGACAAATACTTAGGGAAAAATGAACGATTCTGAAAGAGGTGTAAAACAATGGAAAAGACCCAACTCCCCGAACTCTATTCATAGTTTTATTTTAATATACACATCGCCGCTGAATACAATATCTCCTGAAAAATTTCGATAGTTGAATATCAATTAAAAATTTGTAAGTATGAATTGAGGTGTTATTGAAACACGAATATTAAAACACTCGCTAAAGAAAAATTTTCATCTTGATTTTTTTAAAAGTTATACAATTGTCAGTCAATAAATTATCTTCAACTTTCGTTTATACATATGGCGACATAATATCACTGATTTCAGCTACTAAATATAATTTTCATATCCTTCGAGCAGTAGTGAAGACCTCCAGCGAAGGGAATATTTTCTGAAATTTGAAGATTTTAACAAGGTGTGAAGTCAGCCACACCTCATTTGTTATGAGTCGCTATCAACTGGAAGAAAATCTTGAAGATAACTGGAAAAATGAAGAGAGGAACATGCTGAATTCAAAGGTGTTACAAAATATTTTGAAAATGTATGCCAAACGTGAATAAGATTTCTAAAATGATTACTTGGCTTAATACATAAAAAATACCGTTCAGAAAAACATATAATTTGAAAGTATAATGTTTAAAATTTTATTTTAAATTGCATACACTAATATAGTGTCACCCAAAAAAAATGAAAAAAATTTCAAAAGAACTCCAACTGGATAACCAGAGTTAGTTGGAAAATAGAAGCTCGTCAGGTTCTAATGAAATTTCAATATTCGTTGAAAAAATACTCGCACAGCTTTGATGATAACCTTGGTATATCTAGTAAATCTATCTTTCCCCTTTGTAATATTTTCAGACTTTTCGAAAATGGGAAAAATAATTCCAATTTAGAAGAAAAATAATTCCAATTTAGAAGAAAAATAGTCAACAATAGTTGGAAAAGTAAAGACCAATAACCATACCATTTCTGAATATTCTTTCTTAAATCGAATACCATTTTGTTTTTTCCATAACATCTTTAGTAGGAAACAACAAAGAATAATAAATAAAAATTCTACCACCACAGCAATACAGAAGAATGTGTTGGCATATTTTGTGATCTCAGAAAGGCATTCAATTGTATCAAGATATTCTAAAAAATAAACGGTATACATTGTCTTTTTCTCTGTTGACTATCTGAGTATCAATCGAATAGAAATAAGTTAAAGTGAACAAAATCAAATCTGTTAGCATTTCTATGAATTTGAAAATACCGCAGTTCTTAGTTTAAGGCCCAATACTATTTTTGTTTATGTGGATGATTTGAGATACTCAATTGCAGCAAACTCATTGATGATGTACTCCGATGACACTCCAATTATAGTATCTGATAGGTTTGATTCAGGCCAAAAATAAAAATGTGGTAAAAGTTTTTCAAACGCTAAATTCACGGTATTTAGCAAACGGTCTTTATCTGAATATTGGTTAAACATTCTTGATCCATTTTCACAAACGGCAGAAACAATTTATGCCTATCAGTTTCCCAATCAATGGGAATGAGAATTATTCAAGGAGTGAAAACATTAAATTTTTGGATTATATGTTGACCAATGGTAAGGATGGCATGATCGCTGTGAATTTCTAATGAGAAAAATGAGATGAACAACATTTCAGTTGAGAAACTACTAAGTTTAAAATATGTTTTTTCCGTTAAACAGCTATCACACCTCTACGAACGACAACCCTCAGAAGTCGAAACTTGTGCGAGCTAAGGACTAACGAGGTCTTACTTTTCAACGTGTGAAATTATGAGTGAAGGTTTTTTATTCTAAGAATAAAGATTTTGTAACGTGGTTTCCGTTCATGTTGGTTTTCAGGTAACTCTGTTGGAGAAAATATATCTGGTGTTCGACAAGTGGAAAACCACGTGGTATAAAATAGAAGTTTATTCCTAATAACTACGTACAGAAAAATAACAAAATCATATATACAAAAATGGTTAAATCTATTTACATGTGTTGCAGAAAAATTTCGGAAAGAAACCAGGGTGTTGGATTGAACGAATCTCAGATCAAAGACAGACAACGTAGATTCGGCGGACTTTTCTCAGCCGTGCACAACAATGGACTTATATATACTGGTCGAAATTATTCAAGAAAGGTGTTAATATTACCAACCATGTGATACCTACTCGTGAACCATATATAAATGTATTCACTGATTTCAATATATCAACGTTAATATTCGAATAATGTGTGTATGTTACAATGATTACAATAATCCTTTTATAATTGATTAATACATTTTTAACACTCGTCAAAAAATAATATGTTTCTACTGTTCATTAAGAGTGAACTGGCTTATAATATTCCCAATCTCATGACTCCCAAAATAATCAATCATTTATCAATCAAACTGAAGAATAGTAGCACTCTATCTGTATTCAACTACCTTCCTAAAAATGTTTTAATCTGTTTCTATAGTTTTGAGGAATAAATGTCGTTAAGTACATGACCAGTATGTCATTTGTTGAAAAGAAATAAAGAGTTATTATATATCACTTGAAAAGTATGTTCTATTATAAATATTTTCCATTAGTAGATAGTAATATGTCCAAAAACTATTGTTTTAATTGATTTTTTTTTCAATGAAACCCTATATTTTATTTAACATTTGATTTCCCAGTGAAAAGTGCTTTCTGAAAATATGGAATAGAATGAGTATATACTGAGTGGTTCTTCCACATTCACCTTAGCCAGAGTTGTTTAGAATTGGATTCTTCTTGATTATTGTCACTCCAAGTTATAATTTTTTCCAGTCCTTCATTCAGATATACAATTTCTCATTCATAGCAGCTCATGTTTCAGCATTTAAATGAAAATAAGTTGTTGGTGTTAGAGGGTTGGAGAGAATTTGAGAGTAGATCCATATAATCGAGGTATATAGAGTTGGTTGAACTTGATTTGAACAGGAATATTGAACCTGCAACCAGCACATTGATGGTTTCACGGTTCTCACTTCGGGTCCTTGGTATTCCACCTTTCATCATCCTAAGTTCATAAACAATCTCAAATTATTCTCAATTAAGAACCATACAATTGTTACACTATAAACAATAAGTTTATATAAGTTCAGGTCAACAATTCAAATATCAAAATTTATATCATCTAAATTATCTTCAGAGCTGTCAAATATAGTCCTTATAGACTGAGATGTTGCACTTTCACTTCTTACACAACTATCACTAGAACTAACTCCATCACTAGATATTTTCTTAAGAAGTTTTGAATTTCTAGAAAACCTCAATGGTATAGATTTGATTTTGGAGTTTTGGGATGAATCACGAGTCATATTGTGATTAGCTGAATCACTATAGGATTGATGGTTGCAATCAGCCCAATTGAAGTCTAAGTCAATATTAAAATCATCATTCACTCCTGGCATGTGCCTCAACATTTCCAAGTCGGTTTGGAAAGTGTCAATATTGACATTTTCTACATTTTTCTTGTTTTTGATTCTTTTTTCACTTGGACCCTCATGGGAAATAGTTGTTCGTTTAAACAGTTTTTTGTCCCTAGATTTTTGGCTCCCCTCAACAATTAAGTTCTCTTTGGGGAAGTATTGTGGATCTCCTTCATTAATGAGACTTTTACTTTTGCCCTTTTCCTTATTGACGTTTTCATGCTTTTCAATTTTATTTGAAGTAATGGTGTCATGTCCATTTACCTCTTTTGGTATATTGTGTTCTACAACTGAATCATTGTTTTTTCTAATGAACTTAAACTTCTTCATTTTATTCCTGATAGTCTGTAGTGAATTTGATTTCTCATCGTTGGCTATACTTTGATTTCCTTTATGTTTTGAAGATAATCCAACAATTTCACTAGATGTTGATAATTCATTATTTTCGCCAAGATTTCCGATACTGTTCTTTGAAATTGAGATCTTTCCAATACAAGATTCATGTTTTTTTCCTGTACTAGGTCCAGGTTCACCTGGGTATAAAATGTCAAAAAAAGTTGAATCATCATAATTATCGTTAAAAATATCACAGTGGTTAAGTGTCTGATTTGGTGTTTTACTCTGAGACCTCGTATCAAATTTCAACTTAGTTTGACGTGTATTTTTTGAATCTGAAATATCAAATGAAACTGTGTCATATCCTTCATCAACTTCTGAATTGAAAAAACGGGATTTATCAGTTTTGTTGGATTTTCGGATTGTGGTTGACTTGAGTTTGAGATGATCTGTAGTTTCTACACAATTCTTAAAATGGATATCACCACATTCAGATGACTGAATCTTATTGTTTTTCTCTTGTTTCGAATCTTGAAGTCTAGTTTCAACAACTTGCTCTTTTTCTGTTTTACTCGGCTCACTCATTATTAGAGGTCTGTTTGAAGTTTGAACATTTGGATTTTGACAATTGTTGAATCTGGATTCTTGAAGATTAATTCCACTTGTAAAGTCACCATCAGAGGACATTTTTTCAAAAGTTTTATCATTTTGTAGTCTATTAAAATCATCATTCTGCGATTGTTTTCTTACATCTGGAACAACTGAATTTTGACAATTGAAAAACCTGGATTGAATAGTATTACTCCTAGGCTTTTTCAACAAATTAATTTCCTTATCGAGAATTTGATGAAGCTGCAGTTTGTTCAAAATTATTTCCAACATATTACTATAATCCTCGACAGGCCTTTCTGGAAAAACACTATTCAAAGTAATGTTTAGATTTAAAATCGAAGAATCCCAATCCATTGCAGTATCAACGAGAATGATCGCATAAATACTGTCCACAATTTGAACACTTTCGTGACACATAAGTCTGGCATGTCCCTGAGATAATCTGAAATATACTATGGATCAGTTATGTGAAATAAACTTTCCATTCAGTCTCACTCACCTCACCAAGCTCTCCAATAATCTTACAGTGGTTCTTGCTTTGTTTCTGGTATCTATTCTTCGTTGCATTTGATAATAAGTTCCTAAAATAACTTCAGCATCCTTAGACAGTTTGGGGTGTAGTTTTTTTATAGTAACAAAGTATGTCTGAAATCAAGTAGGTGTTGAATGAGGAAAGTAATACAATTTACAATACAACATACCTGCAAAATATCTAGTGACCATAATCCTCCATCAGTAAGCTTAGAAAAGTTACCACCCCCATTTAATATATATTCAGCAATGCGATCATCCCATTCCTGATTAACAGTATCTCTTAGCAACAAAATAAGATCAAAGCGGCTCAAAAGAGGACTTGGCAGAGCTATGTTCATGCCTAAGGGCTGAGAAGGGTCCAAGTTCCCCTTGGGATTGCAAGCAGCTAATATGGAACATCTTGTATTGAGTTTACACACCATACTTGCCTGAAATTGAAGAAAAATCAAAATCGTTTTCTAAAGAGATTAACATTTTAGTAAAAGATTTCATCTCCTTCATTCCAAAGAAGTGTTCCAAATAAGATTGGACTGTTGGTTTTTTTCTTCGAATAGAATGGTTTGTAAAAATTTTTAAATCTTTTTGTAAAATCTTGTGGTTTGACTGAACCATATGACCTCAATCTCTAACATGTATTTCATTGGTTATTAGGCTAATGAGTTTTATATAAATCAAATCTTACAAATGTACTATGTCCTCGTTTTTTATACTTTCTGTTGCCTGACAAGTGACCACTGAAGCACTTTGCAATAAGAATTTATAATCATACACTTTTATACAAAATCTCTTCAATTCATACATTTCATTGTGTTTGATTTTGAAATACAAAAAGAGACTCACATTTATTTTTTTCTGTATGTGATTTCAAATCAGATTATATTATATTAGACAATGAAAGTCTGAACTGATGAAATACACCACGAAACATTGTTATTGATTTGAGTTGAATTTTGATTTACTGCAGTTATCTGAAGTATGCATGTGAAGCACTCTGACATCTCTAAGGTTGTTTTGTGTTGGTGAAATTGTTTAATTTTGGTAAGGCCTGTTTACAAATCTGCTGTGAAAAAACATTACCTTAGCCACACTTATGGTTTGTTGTTCCATGGCTTCATGTATGCATGTACGATCATGTTCTTTCATTGAATTAAACTCATCGATACAACAAATTCCACCGTCAGCCATTACCAGTGCTCCTCCTTCAAGTTGCCATTCTCCATGTTCCTGAAATGTAAATAAAGTTTGAAGTGAAGTTCTGATGGAATATAATGTAAAGTTTGTAATGAAGTTGTGATGAAATATAATCAATTTCTAAGATGTACTTGTGTTTGGATAAAATAATATACATTGTACGTCCTATTTAACGTTATTTTGCAGATAAAGTTACATGACCTAATATTTTACTCATCTTTTATGGCTTGCAAGTAGTACGGACAATATCGTGATCTGATCACATTTTCCTACTGTCTGATCTCATCTCTTCGTAATTATTTACGGCAAATGCATGACGATTTTAGAGGGAAACTACCCATGCCAGTTTAAAAAGAAAGTAATATGTAATTGTTTGAAATTGTCCTTATAGGACAAAACTGCAGTAATGTTACTTACAAATACAAGTGGTAAAAAGGCATACAGAGTTTTATTTCTTATTTATCATAAAGTAATATGGATTTTTTCAAACACAGAAGAAAAAATTGACCCAAAATGGTAAAAAGATTCATAATAAATTAGGAGTGAAAAGAAACTGGTCTACCATATTTGTTTGTCTTCGAAACGCACCCACCCAGTGATTGTAAACGTCCAATATGGAGTTGAAATAGCTTCAAAGTGAGACTATGATCCACTAAAACGTTCTGGTGTATTATCACAATCTTGATGTTACAAAATAATCATTTGGCATATTAACATTATTGAATGATCCAATATTATTTTGAAAAAAATATGTAAAACTATTCACAACTATATTGAAATAATATGGAAAACGTTTCTGTAACATCCGGTGTTCCTCAAGGATCGCGTACAGGTCCAATATTCGTCATTCTGTTTGTAAATGATGTGTCAGATGTCATACACCACAGCTTTTATTAAATGTCTGCAGATTATCCCAAACTCTACAGGGTAGTTGATAGCTTTTATGATGCAGAACTGTTTCAGGTTAGTCTAAAATAACTCATCTCGTTGGTATGATATAAACATGCTTCATTTGAATGTAAATAAGTGTTATCAAAAAACGTTATCAAAAACTGCGAACCCTATTAATCATCCATACAAAATCAAAAGCATTATCTGTTGTTGAACAATAACATTCTGGACTTGGGAGTGTTGTTTGATAATAAAGTAACCTTTGAAGTTTATATTGATCACACTGAATCCAAGTCACTCAAACTGTTGGGATTTGTACAATGATTTCTGCTACTTTTGAATTTAACTAAATTTGGAGCACGGTCGACCTAAAATCAACTTACGACTTCTTTTTAAATATAAATTCAAGAAGAACCAGAGTGTCGGAGTTGTTTAAAGTTTCTTGCCATACTACTAGTTAGGGTTTAAATTAATCCATTACTTCACGTTCACATATTCTTTCTAAAATCAGGTTGAACTTATTGATCTACTATGAAGACACTGCTGAATATTATTATTAACAATTAATCAATATTTGTGTATTTTTTGTACTCCATATTATTGTTCAATTGTTTTCTCTCACACTGTCTATGTATTTATCATAAAATGGCCAGTCCGTAAATGAATAAATGAGTAAATAAATAAATGAATACATAAATAACTACTAGCAGACCATTTTCATATTAGAAACTGGCCTTTAGGGATACATGCAGAAAAATGGTCCAAATAAACTCTTCATTTAACACATCTTTATTCAATAACAATTAAATGGGTGATACATGTGAAATAAATATGTTTGTTCATAAAGAGTGTTTTACAACTACTATTCGAACAAAATAAATTTTATTTAAAGTTTCATTTACTCTTGATAATCTTTTTGTATTTATTATCATATAAATAATTATAAATTGCTCCATATTTTTCATCGTATTTTAAAACTTCATTGAACAAAGGTTTCAGTACATTTCTCAGTGACAAAGAGGTTTCAAATGATTTTTTAAATTTTCAAGGTCCCTAAATAAACTAATGAGATATCCCTTTTAGTCACTCAAGGTATTCTAAATATTCTAGTATATTGGTCCTAAATAACAGTTACAATTGACTATGCCAAAGCTATTTTTCGTTTTTTGGCCATGATCTGCAGGTTTTAATGCCAGGCATTTCGACTACTACTGCGGTAGACATTACCGAAGGTGTTGAGGTAACGGTCGAAGTGCCTGAGTTGTTCTCAACGCAGAAACTACAATGCTGGAATTTGTCTCCGGTTTTATATCATTATTGGTGGGCGTGGCTTCGTTTCTCTTAATTGTTTTTGTACAATTAAGGACAAGTAGCTAGATTTTATTATTGTTCATTGAATGTCATAAATTGGTTCAGCTGTCGTGTAGTACCTCTGAAACAGGTGAGAATATCGTCTACATATCATGAATAATCTCAATAGCAACAGAGATAGAGAACTAGATAAATTTCTTAGACCTGACCATAACACACAATCAGAATAAATTTGAGTTCAATGTTTTCAGAAAACCTAACTATACAGACATTACCATCCCAAGTGATTCTTTACATCCAGACACTCATAAATTAGCAGCCTACAATTCAATGTTGCACAGATCATTCTCACTGCCTTTGTCTGCTAACAATCTAGCTAGGGAAATCAAAATAATCACACAGACAGGCCATAACAATGGTTTCAACACAAATACAATCCAGAAGTCGGTTTCTTCAGAAAAAACAATGTGGAAGTGGCATTCAGACCACATGCCAGGTTATCTGATTTCCTTTCCAATGTCAAAGATAAAGTGCACAAGTTGGAGAAATCTGTAGTTTATAAGCTGAAGTATCCAGAGTGTAATAGTGTTTATGTGGGACAATGTGGTCGAAATTTCTCAAAACGGTATGCTGAACATGAAAGGTTCTTCAGACTAAGGAAAAATGACTTGACATTTTCAAACCATCCCTTGGCATGCAACCGTAAGTTCCAGAATCCAAAAGATACATAAATTTTGCACTATGCAAGGAAAATTTGAACACTCAATTATTTGGAATCCTTGGAAATTCATAAGCATAAAACATTGCGGGTGCAACCTGTTAAATGATCAAATCGATCTGGTTTACTCACCGGTTTTCAAATTAGCTTATCCACATTGTCATAAGTAAACAAAATTGAGGTACTCAATTAAGCTAAGAACGTCTATAATTACCAACAGTGGTGTTATATAAGGGCTAATGTAACCAATCATTTTTAGTTTAATGTAAAAGTTTGAAAATTTCCTTATAGGACGAAACTTCAGTAACGTTAGTTACAAATAAAAGCGGTAAAAAACCATAAAAAGTTTCAATTCTCTTTTCTTCATAATGATTTCCTACCTCTTAGTAACGACTAGATCCATCATTTTAACTAATTAACGTAAATTTTGCATATTTAATCAATGAATTCATTTTGTTCTTCATAAGTCTGAAACACATCAATATTTTTTAAAAGACACACTGCCTAATGTTGAGAATCGAACAGCTTTCAGTCAGAATATTTGCCAGAAATACTTCGTTATAGGTAGTGTATATTGAAAATAATTTTAATAAAACCTTTTTTTTTATATCACTGAACTGAGTTACAAAAAAAGCGTCTTCTTTATATATGTCTTGAAATGGGATATCACTTGACATACCATTTCATTTTGAAAAATTAAAGGTTTTCCTAAGCGTAAATGTCATTCCAGGAGAGAAAGAATTATTTCATATTCATATTTTTGTAGCTTGTATTGTTCCTTGGCATACAGTTGTTCTTTCACTCACGATCTGATAATCGATCCTTTGATATATACTTATTTTATCTGTATTGCTGTCACTTGCAGGCTTCGTTATGACTAGTCTAATAAGTTCAGTTTATATGATGTGGGTATTTCATACATTTGTATGGACTTTGGTGATGAATAAATTATCTATAGTTGACAGTACCATACCATAGTAGCTGTAACTGTTAATCCAGCTGCAGTGGATCCGACTCCTGTTGTAAGGACTGACCGGGGAATTATTTTAGAAGCAAATCTTAGTAACTGTGATTTTCCTGTTCCAGGGTCACCAACTAGTATGAGATGGGGTTCAGATCTTGTTCGAACACCTGTAGATGTACTCATATCTTCAATGTGACTACCACCTGCCAGAACTACGGCTATGGCCAATTTAACTAAATATAATCCATAAATCTAAAAAATATAACAAAATATTCTAATGTGAAGGTGATTTTGTAAACCTATTTTTCAGTTAAGACATGTGAACATTTTTTACCTGCGGACAAAATGATTTCAAAATTGAGTCTCTTCCTTCTAACGAATTATCTGCATATTTCTCCCAGAAAGATTTGAACATTTCTTTAACTTCAGGTGTTGAAGCAGATATAGCACTATTACTGTTATCAATCTGGACATGGTTTGCTTTAAAAACAAGGTCAATATCAATTTTTCTTCCTTTATCAAATTCACCCCATCTTCTTTTGACTATACCACTAAAAGAAATTTAGGTTTTGCTGTTTCACGCTGAGTTATCAGAAGCAATTAATTGTAAAATTAATTGGTGTCAAGGACATGAATCAATAAAATAATAGGCAAGTTACTAATGTCAAATAAAAATCTCACCAAATTGTTACGTTGTCTCCAGGTTTACAGCTATCAACCAAGTCATCTTCAAGGGTTACCCAAATTGTATTTGGCATGGAACTAACTCCTAATTTTTTTACCTGTTCTTGTATTTTTATTTCTTGATAATCTTTACAGTTTTCACTGTCTAATTCACCAAAATGCACCAGATTGGTACCAGAACATACCTCTGGATTATCACACTTCTTTGGTTGCTTTATTATGTATTTTCTATCATATTCAGCTTTAACCAATGTTGGTCTTTTACATTTAACACAAACGTAACTTCGCTGGTATTCCAGAAGTTTTGGGGTAGTGATTTTCATAACAGTACCTGAGGGGCAATCTCAATTAATAATGATCATGTTTTCAATTATCTGATGAAGGTATACAGGTTATTTCATAATTACTGTCGATAATTTCTGACTGATATTTAACAAAAAACAATTCCTTTCTATGAATTTGATGACAACATTCAATTTGACTCTAAATCTTCAAGTTGGAGAAAAAAGATGTGGCTCTTGAATAGTGGGTTCCATTGGTTACCTTTTTCCAANGAATTATTGATAGTTTTTAAAGAAAACATCATTCATGCATTTTACTAGGTGCAAGTGGGGTAGTCTAGTTTTTTGGAAACGAACTCTTTAGGAGAGGTCGCTTCAGAGACCAAATATGAAAATGTCCTAATCTCTCTCTCTTTCTCGCTTACTGCTTTACCCAAATATTTATCTCCGCATATCCTAACTGGTCAGCAAAGACAACAGCATTTACGAGGTCTGTTTGTGGGCTACATACTTTCGATGTGAACATATGTTCACAGTTTCACCTATTTGGCATGTTTAGTTTGTTAGTGAGAGACATAAAAGTTAGAAGTAGTTTGCGTATTCGGCGATTTTCTGCTATCGAAAAAATGGATCAAAGAATTTTCACCAAATTTTGAGTAAAAAAATGGAATTAGGAACTCAAAAATACTTGAAATGTTGACAATCGCATACAGTGATTGTATTATGAGTCAGAAAAATATTTACAAGTGGTACAAACTTTTCACAGAAAGTCGAGAAGATGTGAATGACGACGCTCGCCCTGGACTCTCCAGATCATCATAAAACGATGAATTTTTGAGAAAGCGAAAAAAATTGTTATGGAGAATCATCGAATCACTATTGAAAAAGTTGCTGAGAATGTCTGTGATTCGAAAGTGCATATAGATTATTCGTATAACGACAGATGGCCACATTGTCTGCTGCAAAATTGCTCGTGTTGAATCCTTCTAGAGGAAATTTGATGACAACATTCAATTTGACTCTAAATCTTCAAGTTGGAGAAAAAAGATGTGGCTCTTGAATAGTGGGTTCCATTGGTTACCTTTTTCCAATTTCATTGATGAAAGATAATGCTTCAAAGCCAAAAATACCAAACATTTCAACAGCTATTTGGCAAAAGATACAATCATTTCCCAAAATCTGATATTTCCGTAGCAAGATGGCAAATTGCTAATGTATCCACACAAGTAAAGTCCTAAATAACTGATTTACGCTTTTTCATGGAACAAGTATCATACCATCTGGCCATTTTGATCAGATCATTTATGGCACGATGGCGAGATAAACACCCAGCGCTTAAACGGCATCACAACCCATGATTACCTGATTCATCCACAAATGCAACACATTTACAAAAGTGTTGAACACACAGTGTTGTAACAAATTGAAATCCAATCGCATGGCTGAAAGGGTTATTATCCAGTAGAGTCACAAATGATCCTACAGGAATACCATTCATCCAAGCACCAGATTCTTTCATACATAACTGCGAGGAGACGGGCCTTATTTTTTAGTGTCAGAAGCTGTCTTCAGTAGAATACTAGTTACTTGATCTAGTAATGATTTATTCCATGAATAAATCTTTGAATATTTATCTTCATGAAGCTAGATTCATACATTAAGTAAGTTTCGCTAATTCTGACAGTTCCATAAAAGCAAAGACCTATTCAAAAAACAAGTGATGTTATTGGACGTGCATGGAGTTGGATGTGGCTTACCAGACAAGTGATAATTCAATTCATTAAGAACAATAAAACAAAACTTCAGTGTCGGATAGATCAGAAGTATATAAGTGGACTTATGGTTCTTGCCGAAAACTTCAAATTGGCCAAACAGGGAGAAACATTAATGTAGTTTTTTTAATGTAAAGACCAATTCCACATTTGTAAACTATCTTTTGTCAGAGGGGCATGAGTTCAACCACGCCTATAAAGTATTTCATTTGGAAGAGATGGATTTGAAACTGAATATTTTTGAATGATTAAAAATTTATAGATTTAAGATATCTGAAAATTTACATAATGACCAAATAGAATTGAATTCTTCTCCTCTTCTAAATTGGTTTCCTGACGTGTAAATTCGTAATATGTTTATTACATAACAATGTAATGATATGGTAAATTTTTTTTATGATGTTCCACTTTTACATTAGTTTTTACCTAAACTCTGGTAAAATTATTAGTCATTACCTAGGTTAAGGTCATATGATTCAAATTATTATTATATAAAGAACAAATTAGATAGAATTTAGGCTTGAAGAAGCTATTGTATAGAGAAACACTTCTGCGGTTTTGTAAACTGTCTAGTGAAAAACGCACAATAAAGTGTTAGTTAAATATATAGTTGATTCTAATTTTTTCATGACAGCTTTTTAAATTTACGATTACTTCAGTTCAAACAAAAAAATTTTAATTGCATTTGTGTGGGATCTATGAAACTATCATTCATCTTTCTGCATAATGATTATGTACCGTATCATAATTGTTGCGTTAGTTAGTCTATAAATCAGCCTCAACTGTTCAGAACTTGGTCAAACTACATTTTTAATTTTTCTTTTCTGCAAAATGAAGGATTTTATGAAAATTATAATTAAGATTCCAAGACTATAAGGATGGATTTATGCACCAGTCGCAAGTTGTATGTCACAAGTTTTAATAAGTAAAGAGTATTTATGTTTTTCATTCGTTACCACACAAACTTACAACTTCTGCACATAGATATTATGAGTAAGGGTAGATTCATGCACCCAGTCTTGAGTAGTAAGTCACAAGTTATAAAAAGTTAATCAATAATTTTCAGTTACAACATTCATGTGCAATATATATTATCTTTTATATACTTAAGTAGTCAGTTCAGAGATAACAGATGAAAAGATGGATTCTTGAAACTTCCGCCATATGACTTGAGTGTACATAAGGTAACCCACCTTATGTGTAGATAAGGTAATGTCCATTTGTATGCATGTTATTGCTAAACATTAATGATGAACTGATTATGAATTCTCAAGATTTGTGATTCACGACTCAAGACTGAATGTATGAATCTTTCAAATTCTCAATATATTACCGGATATTTGTAAAAATTTTCCAGCATCACCATTGCTTGGAAAAATAGATCGTCTAACAGCAGGCCAAAAAGGTAAGTTATATATACGGCAGTGAACAAAGTTCTTCAGTTGTGAATTTTGATCGGCTTCCTTCAACACAGTCATCTGTGCCAACAAAGTTGCCTTCTCCCAGTCTTGTAAACATTTTTCTGGATCATTCAATAAGGTGACCACTAAATCTGATTGATGTTCATAAAGGACTAAAAAACTAGATGGAATTATTTTTGCCAAAAACAAATGTACATTCAATACACTTACTCTATATTCAAAGAAAAATGTTTGGAATTATCATCATGGCGTAGAATTTCGATAATATCACATTTATGGAACGATTTTAAGTAATTTTCGAACATTTCGTATGAAACACTAATAGAAAAGAAATTAAAAAAAAAACAACATATGAAACAAATCGCAAAACATAACCTACAAATTAAAACAAGTTTTTAAATCTTATTACCTTTGCCGCCTACTCAGTGTCGGCAATCTAGAGAAAGGAAATATAATGGGCAAATTGTATGAATATAAGAGGCGAGTTATTAAATTCAACAGAAAATTTCTGAAGGAACATTTCGACCACGTTTCGAATGGATCAATAGACGAATTCATCCTTCATCCATCGAATCCATAGGTGGACTCATTGGGAATGAAGATTTTTCAATAGATATATGTTGTATATGTTATATTTCACTTTCGGAAAATGACTTTTCAAAACTTTTTACTTGAAAATGGGAAAACTTGTTTTATGTTGGCAACGTTGGGGAAGTTGGTTGCCGGGAGTATCTCAACACAACGTTCAAGAGGAACGATTCATAGAAACCTTGATGTTTCAAGCAATTCGAATTTATTTTGTGAAATACTCTCGACGCAAGAAATGTTGATAGATGGTGCGAAAGTCGAAATCTGTCGCGCGTATCTTGTTAAGATCTTTAAAAATCGGACCATAATGTGAAAAAATATTTCACTGAATATAAATGTAAACGACATTGGAAATTGAAGTGCTAACTTCACATCGTCAAGATGCATCACTAGTTGTTGTACTCTAAACTTTTTTTATGAAATGCTGAAATTTAATGAATCCGTTTATTATTTCTTCATCAAGAATGTAGGACGAGCGTTTTTGACATACTATTTTACATAAGGAGGGGTCCAAGTGATCATAACACACACCAGGGATGTTCTATGCATCTTGGTCAAGAACATGATCAGACGTAAATATTTAAGCACAAATACAGCGTGACTCACGGTCGATGGTAGGTTAGACGTTTCTGGAAAATGCAAAGCATGATTTTTCTGAAAATTTCACCTCTCACATTTTCTTACCTGTTCTATCGATCTAAAACATTTTCAGCATTGCGGCTTGCCACTTCCATGAAAAAGTCCTAGCAACTTTATTTTTTAAATGGTATTTTAATACTTTTTTGTTAATGATGTTCTATACCTATCTCTATCTGTTTTCGAGATAAAAAATAAATAGTGCTAAATATGGTCCAACACATATCCTCAATTGAAATTTAGTACATCAGTACTCTCAATTCATGAAAAGTTGATATTTTGATGATAGTTTGGACAAACTCGAAATATTCAAATAACACCAAGAAATCGACTCCATATCATACAGGGCGTGCTACAATTACTATTATTTCCATTATGCATAAAAATAGTCAAAAGTTTATTTTTTCAAATGAACCCCCCTGTATATTACTCGGTAAATTGAAAAATGGTGAAAAATGCTTCAAGATGATATATCATGTCCCTATACCTAAATCGTCAAGTTTTCTCAATAAAGTCGCTTCTTCTAGAAACATTATTTTTTTTAGAATTTGGATTTAGGTAGCAGTGGAATTATCAAGCTTATATAGTAGTTCGGTTACTTTTATAAGTAATTTAAAAAGAGTTATCGACGGTGTTTCGAATCATCTTCCAAAATGAATGCAAATATCGATTATTCAAACGAAGTTCTTATGAAATTATTTATTATACACATGAATAAGGTGATCAAATCATTGTCAGAACGTGTAAAAAATTCAACCAAATGTATTCTGAATTAACACCAATGAACGAGAGGAAGTTTGTAAGGTTACAAAATAATTTCCTTAACTATGGCTCAAAGTATCCAGGGAACAACTGTACCAAAAATCAGTCATTTCTAGGTAAAAAGTAAGATTTTGTGGGCTAAAACATGTGAAAGTACATACAAAGACAATAACAGAATAGGATGATTCAAAATAACAAAATTGTAAACAAAATATCACATTTTCACAATAAATGCTGAAAATGTTGTCCATTAAACACTTTAAAATGTTTTTTTTGTACGTGACTTGTGGTTGCTTTTTCAATTTCCTGGGGATCCAGATCTTCAATACTCCGACAATAGTCAAGTGGCGTGAGATCGGGTGATCTCGGTGGCCAATCCCACGGCCCTAAACGCCTAAATCAACGATCGTCGAAGAGTTCGTTAAAATATCAACTTTTCATGAATTGAGAGTACTGATGTACTTAATTTCAATTAAGGCTATGTTTTGGACCATATTTAGCACAAGTTATTTTTTATCTCGAAAACAGATAGAGATAGGTATAGGACAATATCAACAAAAAAGTATTAAAATAGGACTTTTTGATAGAAGTGGCAACGCCGCAATGCTGAAACCGTGAGTCACGCTGTATATTGTATAGTGTTTTAGAAGCTTCTAATAAAGTACTTTTGAAATTGCGAGTTTTTGTCAGGTTTGACCTACACAACGTACGTTACCTCTCAGTTACAGAATACAAAATACGAACCTATTTAATTAATTATTGTACATATAGTTTGAAAAGTATGCCACCATATTTTGAATATGACCCCACCAACTCATTATAAGCCATCATCATTGTTTTAAATCATCTGCACCCCCTACACGTTTTGCAGAAACTTTTTGACATTTATTCCTTCATTTGCTTTATCAATAAGTATACGATCAATAAGTTTTTTCCATTTTAAATAAGATGTGATGATGGTTCCTCGTTTGTTGTTTTGATTCGAATTTGTCGTATGTTAATATTTATTTGCTCTCTACAAAGTCTACCATTTCCAAAATTAATTTCACATTTCTCTATTGATAAAATTGCATACCACCTGGTCATCCGCGTAGGCTACCAATTTTTCCTGTTTAGGTATTATTTAATAATGGATTCAAAGAAGACCCTTGCGGTAATCATTTCATAATTAGATATGAACCATGACAGATTCCCTGACATTATCATATGCCCCCTTTATATCCAAAAAAACTGCTATTACAGTCTGATTTGGATTTGTACATATGATATAAAAAAATTTGCACAACAACCTGTAGTCCCTAATCCTTAACGAATTCCCATTCGATATCTTCATATAAACTTTTTGCTTTCACGGTAGCCAAGCGGTTCGACGTAGGTGCTTTGTTCACTCACTCGAATTGACTGCCGTGTTGGTCGGTGGTTCAAGCCCTAGTCTGAACGATCGATTTTCACTTGCTATCGTCCAACCCGTGTTAGGAATCAAACGTTAAAAGGTAAGACCTCGTTAATCCTTAGCTCCCACAAGTTTCTACTTCTGAGAATTGTCGTTCGAAGGGGTGCAACAGCTGGTTAACGGAAAAACAGATTTTAAACTGATTTTTTTTAACATTTCCATTCTACTCTCTTTCAATTGATTTTTCTAAAGTTTTAAGCCAACATGCAGACGATACCCAATAGTCTTAAATTGTTAATATCATTTCTATTGGTTTTCCTTTTTTACGCTAATACTTAAGAATTTTTTCAGGCTTCAGGTAATGACTTGTCCTGTAGTATTTGATTATACAGTGCTAGTCAAAAGTCCCCTCCCCCCCTCGTAACATGGTTTGCTTT